ACTATAAAATGTATTTAATTGCTAATAAATAAGCATGTAAATATGAAATTAGAAATTATTAAATTATAAGTATAAAAATATATTTATTGAACTCAAAGGATTATGCAATGTTTGGATGTACCTTAATTGATTTTGATGAATATTATAATATAATATCACATGATATTATCACATTAAATACAATGATTTGAAAGATTTAATTTATTTATTTGGGAAATACTTGAATGATATACAAAATGATTTGCTAATTGTTTTGCTTAATAAGTGGCATAACATTAGCTGAGAACTGGCCGATTATATTACCCGGCGGTTGATAATCGCACACAACGTACGTCTCAAAGAAATTGGTACCCTTTCCACCGCACGCCGCACAGCCCACTCGAGTGGTTGACAGCCACACCAGTTGCGTAAAGTGTCCGGTTGCTGAACTGTAGCCCGGCTGTGAGAAGTCGTAGTTTTCTATCTCATTATACCTGCGATTCAATAATTATAGTACTATTTATGGACATGTATTGGATGTGATGGCGACAGACCAGGCTGTGATGGCTTGCGAACAGTTGGGAATCATTTGGTTGCTGCTTCCCATCCAAAACAGGTTCTCCCCGTAATTGGAGTCCAGACCCGAGTGCCCGGCGCTCAACCCATTGCTCTGGGATCTCGATTGACACCTCTGTTGGGCGTATTGTGTGATCTATTGTTTCATTCAATTAATATATTTTTTGATACAATTAATAGGATTCTTAGTGGTGGGGATATACATGATAAATGAATAAGTGATACTGTATGACATACATTAGGATCAATTTTAAGTGATGAGGTGTTGACGCTAAGAGCTCTGTACATGTTATGTGTGGTGAGACAAGCAGCTTGAAAGGCATTATTTGTCTCATCCGGTAATGAATCCCGGGCATAAATCACTGCAAATTATTAATACAAAATAATATGAAACTTATTTCAAGTATAAAACTTTAATATGTCTGTAAACAAATTGAGATTTTAAAGTATATTATAAATTAAGTAAAACAATTATTTATACTGTACATACAAGAAATACAAT